CATAAGAAACATAAGCAGAGATCGGATATAAAGTTCTAGCGGTCCAACCATAACGAACAACTGGACGACGATGACGCCGTGGATAACGACGCCCTAAATCATCATCCTCCACTGACAATGTCTCATCAGGTAAAACAACTGGCTCAATACCTGCAATCTCATCAGTACTAACAACAGGTGCATCAATATGCTCAACGAACTGAGAAGTATTACTTGCATCGCCTGAGGTAAAGGGGACATCAGCAGGAGGATGAGAGCGAGGACGACGAACATAAATCTGTAAAGGAAGAGAGACTGATAACTCTGTACTGATAGGACTGAGTGGCTCTGGAGGAAAAGAGACTGATGACTCTGTAGTGATAGTGACCAATGGTTTTAGCTCCGGTTGTAATGGAAAATCAAAAAGAGTAACATCAACTGGAGGGGCAGACACAAGACTAGAAGAAAAATAAGGAATATGCTCAAGAAAGGTAACATCTAGACTGTGATACATATGACGCCTAATAGGATCATAACACTGATATCCCTTACACTGATGACAATAGCCCACAAAGACAAAACGAATCGCTTTATCATCAAATTTATGACGAGTAGGAGACTGATCTTGAACAAAACATGTGCATCCAAAAATACGAGGGGGGACCGAAAAGTGTCCGCCGAGGAAATAAGACCTGTAAGGGAGCCCTATGCTAAAGAACACGACTCGCATACGATTGCATAGAAAGGTAGAAGTCAAAACGACAAAATGTCAATAAGATTTTGGTACCCCCATGCCTCTAAGCATACAACGTACCATCCCTATCAGACTTATATTTTTCTTTTTAGCAACGTCATTTTGCTCAGAAGTATATGGACAAGTGAGTTGCTGAAGAATATCCTGAGAAGAAAGGTGAGACACTAAGGCATCAGACATATATTCTTTGGCAATATTCGAGCGAAGAGCACGAACAATGACATCGAATTGTGTCTTAATCATCTGTAGAAACTGAGTGATTATAGGGAGTACATTGGACTTTCTATGCAAAAGGTAGACCCAAGTACGTGTATGGTCATCTATAAATGTCACATAGTATCGAGCACCTGACAAAGTAGTAACAAGAGAAGGTCCCCAAATATTAGAGTGTATTAGGTCAAATGACTTGAGTGACTGGTGTATGCGAGGAATACAACTGGTCTTAATATGTTTCGATTCGGGAACATATGACACAATCAAGTTTACCACCAACACAAGCATTGCGTAAAGCAGAAAATAACATACATAAATATTTAAAATTTGTATGTCTAAAATGGTCATGCCACAACTGAATAGTTTGTGATGAAAAATCATAACGACAACTATTAGGTAAAATACTAGCATACAAGGTAGGAACAGATAAAGACAAAGCAGGTGCAGATGATATAGGTGGAGGAACTGGTGAAACTGGAGGTGGATTTCTTAGATAATACAGTTCATCTCTCTCATATCCCCTGATAATAATCCTTTTGGTACTCAGGTTCTGCAAATAACACGAATCAAAGAAGAACACAACCGCACAATGAAAATCTGTAACTAACTTGATGTACAGATAATAGATTCATGGCCAACTTTGGCGCATGAAAAATCGAACGTAATGTAAAGCCATCTGGGAGGCGAACTGTACCCCTACTAATAATAGGGGCATGGGTCTCATCTGTTAACTGAATCTGTGTATGTAACTGCTCGTCAAAAGTGGTAAAGTGATGGGTCTCACCTGTCATGTGATGATTCACACCCGAGTCCAACATCCAAAAGGGAAGCGGACTGGTACAAGCATGGAAGGCACGAGGTATACCTGTAGTGGTGGTAGTAGTAGTAGCAGTAGTCAGACTCTGAGAAGTCAGAACAAACATAAATATATCAAATTGAAAAGTGATAACATCCATATCATTCTGTCAAGGAGGAGCAGTAGTAGGAGTAGCAGTAGTAGGTGGTGGCACCTCAGCAATAGTAATAGTATGGCTACGAGGAGGCAGCTTAAGCTTTGGATGAAGCTTCCAGCAAGTAGCCCCGAGATGTCTTGGTTAGCCACAATAATCACACTGACGAGAATCCCCTGTCTGCGCTGATCTAGGACACCCTGACGACACTGGTCTGAGCGTTACCCACCCTTGAATGAGGATCCTGAACAAAACCCTGCAGCAACTGCAAGGGTCATATGATCAGCCGAAGGAGTCAAGGCCGCAACTGAAAGTGATGCAATACGGACGCGGCGCTCATATTGCTCAATCATCGCATACACCTCATAAAGAGAAGGAAGCGTCAAACATCGATAAGGTTTGGGAACGAGGTCCCTCAAACTCATTACGAAGTCCCATAAGGAACTTGTGAATCCTATCCTCCTTCTCTCGAGTATTCGAGTATGCTGCTCCCTCGGACTCTATCTTTAGAATAGCAGCAAGAGGACGTAAAGTCTCATACTCAAGCCAGTGTCGGGTCAAATAGCCATAATAATCCTGAACGGTCATATCTCCCTGCCGAACATATGAGAGTTCCTAAGAAAACTCATAAACACGTACTCCCTGTCCTGATTGGGAATATATCTTTAATAATGCGCTCTATAGCTTCGGAACAAAGTTATGAAACTGGTGAATCCTACAAACAGATGGCTCCATCGAGCCAAATAACCATCCAAGAATAGCGCAGTTCTCAAAGAACCACACAGAATATCCAGAGTCGGCATCAACTGGCTTTGGGTGAGCTCCCATCAGCTAACCAAGCTTTCCTACACGGCTTAAGAAAAGTTGGAATGAGCGAGACTACTCAGCGAAGTTACAGCCATTTAAAAACTGTGCCGTAACTTTCTGAGAGATCATGCCCAGTAGTGCTGGTAATGCAACTGTGCCAGTAGGTACTGTATACTGGTCAAACATAAAAGTGAAAGTACCAATAGATGTCTCGACGGTAGAAGTGTCAATAGTAGGGGTCTCAAGATACTCAGTAGTAGCCATATCAACAACAATACTAAGGCACCCGTGACAGAAAAACAACTCTAAGATAAATAGAGGATAACATAAGGGAGAACAATATACCTTTAGTCGAACAGTAGCGACAGATAAAGAAGGTCCAGAAAGCTCTCAACTAATCAGGTCACGATGCCCAGAAATTCAATAAATATAAATAAATGATCTACTGCATCAAAAGCATATCAACGGAGAAGAGGATTTAACCTTTCTTAAGAGGTCCTACGGTCCCAAATAATCAGATACACGAAGGCAAAACACGATGATGAGTGTGACCTAGCAGTAGGCTTGTTTGCTAGAGTGGGTACTGTGTTGGGTTTGGGGCTAGACTGGGACAGTGTGTAGGTCGCTGGGTTGGCTGATATGGTTGTTGGTTTGCTAGTTTTTTTTTTTTTTGGCCAAGAGTATATGTCATTTGGCTGCTTTGTTGGTTTTTTGCTGTTGTTTATAGCAGGTTGTTGTTTCGGTGAAGTGGGCTTGCTGGGATGGTGGAATTCTGTAAATATATGCTGGTTTGTTGGTGGCCTGGTATGTCGATATCGGTGGAGTTTGATGGGGGCTTGGATGCTGGTCTGACGGTCGGTGCATTCGATGCCTTTTGTAGTCAGTGCCTTGTTTATAGCAGGCTGTTTTTTTTTTTTGGGAGTAGTGGGCTTTGCTGGGTTGGGCAGGTTGCAGTTGTGGCTTTGCTGGGTTGTCGCTGGTTTCGCTGGGCAGTGGCTGTAACGTGGTGCAGTGATCGGCGATGAAGTAAAATTGGGCAATGGGTTGATTTGTCGGTGAGGGGCACTGTTTATGGGCTGTGGGTGAGGCAGCAGAGGTAGTATGCTGGTCATTCAGTGGCGTTGCTGAGGTTGAGGTTTAATGGCTGGGTAAGATTGCTGAGGCAGTCAATGGAGTTGAGGCTAGGGTTAGGGTTAGAGTTAGGGTTGTGGCTCTGATACCAACTAGAAATATTTGTTAGTGAATGGAATACAAACTAAATATAGAGCCCCTCGTATATATAGTCAATGAAAGTTACAACAAGGATAAAAAGGTAAAAAAAAAAACTTAATAAACCCTAATAAACTAGGCTGCTATATCTCTAACACTGTCCTTAATTCTGCCAGTGTATTTGCAGTCAACAGTTTATGGTGGTAATCATTTGGAGTCGGCTATATGAGTCAGTCTTTGCCATTGATTTCGATCATGTGCTATACGCTCATTTAAGTTAAGTATTTTTATATCTTTTCTTATTATTTCGTTTATTGTTAATTTAGTTCTACCCTTACTCCTAGTACCATTAAGAAAAATTATATCACTTTTTCTAATTGGAGCCTATGTTGGCCTCTGTTGAACATGACTAAATCATCTTAATTTATTGCACAAGTTGAGAGAGAATAGATCGAGGTGGTTACAACTGGTCGGTTAGAACTCTGAAAAGTGATCAATAGATAGGACCATCAAAGATCCAACAAGATGCTGCAAGCTGTCTTTTTTATCTTCTTCCTAGTCTTGGCTTAGTAGACAAAAGGTTGGACAAGCTTTAGAGGGACTTCTTGGTGGTAGCAGTAGGATATAGGATCAAGTACCACTTGGTGGATTATGATGTATACACTTCTATCTTGAATGGGGGCTGGATATTTGGAAGTCCAGACTTGCTAACCAGGCTTATTTAGGCAAGTAATTGTGAACCAGGCTTATTTAGGCAAGTAATTGTGGAAGTGTGGAATGGAAAGCTTTGGCTTGGCAGTTGGGAAAAATGTTTGCTTGCACGGAATCTGGAAACTTGGTGATGTCAAATTTCTAATGTGGTAAGTATCCTTGTGGGAGTACGAGGGCTCCTGGCCTATGGTCCTCTAATGTTGTGATATGTAGGAGTCATAGTAAGACAAATTCTTAGATCTTTTTTGTCATTACATTCTTAGAGCCTTTTCCTCATTGCGGTGAATAAATAATATAGTTTGTTGATTACTCTTCAATCATGATCTAATTTGGAAACCTCATTTCATAAGAGGTTAGATGTTGTGGTTTTCTTAAAAATGGAGTCCATTCCAGCCACAGGTTGGGTCAACAATTCTTGGAGATGGGAGCCTTCTAGCCTGGTAAGCTTCAAGATTAAGTTCTAGGAATCTTAGCAATTGGTGACTCCTCATCCTCTTTCCCTTGGAAGGAAGTTTAAACCCTGAGGTCACTTTCTTTGAATGGATAGTAGTGTTAGAAATAAATTCGAGGAAGGGCCAAATTATTTTTAGTGGATTTATATACGCTAGGCATGGAGGAGCTTGTTACTCACGTACTCTTTCAGTGTACGTTTGCCATGGAGTTGTGAGTGCTCCCCTTTTCCGTAGTTAGAGTTGGTTGCCTAGTTGATTAGTTATGGTGTTAGAGATAGTATTATGGAATGAGGAGAGATGTGGAACTTTGTGGGTAATACTTATACGCTATGAAGCACGGATACTTGAGAGAGAGAGAGAAGCATCTGTATACGTATCAGAAATAGATACGCTTCTGATACAGTGGGATACATATTGGATACGTCATGTATGTATCTATTAATTAAGAAAAATAATTTTTTAATTTCAGATAAGTATGGAGTACGCTGGGATTTGCATAAGATACGACGGGGGCTAATGTATAATTTTTGTTTTTAAAACAAGGGTACCAGAGCAAATAATATAGGTTTCTATAAATTTCAAATCATTGGGGTCTTATATGCAAAAACCAAAAAAATAAATAAATGCAACAAAATGTCATTAAAGAAATTGATCATTGGATATATATATATGTGTGTGTGTGTGTGTGTTATTGTTATTGTTTATATAGCAACGATAGTTCTGATTAGAATAGACCAAATGTCTGTTCTCTCTCCCACTAAAGCCCGATTGACTTTCGTTGGAATAGAAAACATGAAATCCTCTTGTTCTATTTTTTCTCTCTTTCCCCTTCCATGTCCCCTTTATTGCTGTTCGTATTGGCGATTAAGGATCACTATTGTCAAAATCTTGCGATTAGGGTTCAATATATCCATCCAACTTGCGATTCGTCAATAGAGATCACTATTGGGTCATTGGCTGTGATTGCAAGTGACCAACAATCGTGTCAGTCATCTACTCGATCATATTCACTTCACTGTGACTACAATCTCAAATACTATTGATTGACGTTTCTAATGGATTTCGTATTCTCTACCACAAAGAATAAAAAAATAAGAAAAGTCATTATAAAGTCCATGGTACAGAATGAGTTGTAGAATTATGTAGTCATACATGTGTCAAGCGTCACTAATTCCCTATAAGGGTATGGGTTTGTTTTTCATTTTTTTTTTTTGGTTACAACAAGGGTATAGCTACAATGAATACTTTGTTGACATTAGTTAGATTATGAAGTAATTAAGGTTTAGAAGAAGAGGAGAAAAATAGACAAGATTATGAGAAGATAGTAGTGTTTTAGGGTTACACAGTTACATCCATAGGCGAAGGAAGGTAGGGGCTAGAGTGGCCACGTGGCCCCCCCCCTCAAATTTTTTTTTTATATATTTATACATATATATTATGTGTGCTCACCTCATTTATATTAGAACCACATTACTTATCCAAAATAATAAAACAATTAAATCCATTTAAAACAAAAAAAATTAAACTCACTATTATCTATCCAAACTTATTAAAAAATCAAATATTTGACCTATCGCAATCCACCCAAACCTATTAAAAAAATAAAACTTCTAGCCCAACATTAAAAACAAAATTTTTGACCCAACATTAAAAACAAAATTTTTGGCCCACTTGACTAAAACCTATCTTATATTTACTTTTTTTTTTCTCTCTATATTACTCACTCCCAGCTGCCTACTACTTGGCCACAAGAAAAAGAGAAGAAATAGAGAAAAACTCAACGCATGAGAAGCTCAGTTCCTTGAGTTTTTTTGTCCGTCCTTGCACCAACTTATAAATTTATTTTATACATTATATTCTAGTCTTTTTTTTTTTAATAAATTAATGGACCACTAACCCTCTAAAATAAATATGTTAGTTTTGGATTGAGACAATGTTTTATTTGTATATTGACGAAAATACAATATTTTTTTTTATCTAACACAATGTTCATTACTTTTTAAGAATAATTTTTAGTTTTCATTTATCATTTTTTTTAGTAATAGTAATCTATAACCTAATAAAATACAAAAATTAATTTACATTTAATTCATATACAAAATTTTAGAGATTTTAAAAATTTTTATATTTTATTGAAATATATAATTAGGTTAAAATGTACTAAAAAAATTATTTTGTGTCTTTTTGTTAAGATTTTGTTTCGACTAAATAAAAATTGAACTTACTATTTCACAATAATTTAGTATTGATTCTTACCTTTTTTTATTCTTGAACTGAATTTTTTTGTATTAATTTTTGCTTAATATTTTTTTATACCAGTTATGTTTTGTCTCTATCATAAATATTCATGGCTCTGCCCCTGGCAATATACATTTTTTTTTGGAATTTTTTATGTTAAATGGACTTCATAATATAATAAATGTAAATATGTTACATAGTGTGATTGGTTAGAAGAAAAAAAATTAAAGTGCATAATTAAAGTGCCCATCCTGAACAAAATTCTTAGCTCCGCCCCTGGTTACATCCCAATTTATATATAACCACAAAGTACCAAAAATACCCTTAAGTTAGAAATACAACTTAACATAAGGTAACACTCCCTTTGCAAGTTAGGTATGGGCAAATGATAGGATGAAAAGACTTATTACCAAGTTTTTTTGTGAAAATATCAACCAATTGTTTTTCTAATTTCATTAAGGGAGGACATATCAAACCTTTTTCCATGTTGAACTAGATTGTGTGTAATGTTGATAGCTACCTTATTATCGTAGTACAGTCTCAGAGGCCCATCATTGCGAATTTCAAGCCCACCTAGTAAAATTTAGAGCCACATAAACTTACAAACTATATGGGTCATTGCTCGGTATTTGGCCTCTACACTAGACCTTGCTACAATTGCTTGCTTTTTACTTCGCCGTGTGACAATGTTTTCTCCTATCAAGGTGCAGTATGCCAAAGTGGATTTACTGTAATCTATTGAAACTATCTAGTCTGTATCAATGAATGCTACCAATTTCAAGTGACCATTATTGAAAAATAAGATTCCTTTTTCTAGAGCTGACTTGAGATACCTCAAAATATGATAAATAACTTCAAGATGAGGGGTTTAAGAATCATGCATGAATTGACTTACAACCCTCACCACATAAGTAATATTCGACCAAGTATGAGAAAGATATATCAATCTTCCCATTAATCTCTGGTGCCTCTCCTTATCCAAAACATCACCAACGCCGCTACCCGGTCGATGGTTGACTCCAATAGGAGAATCCATAGGTGTGCAATCCAATATACATTTTTCTTCGAGTACGCCAAGAATAAGGGTGTTAATCAAGCTGAATTCGAGTCTAATAGTTCGACTATTTACACATAAACGGGCATTCTTGTTTGACTATTTACATATTAACGAGCTTAAAAAAATATTCAAGCTTGACTTGATTAACAGCCCTAGCCAAGAACACATTTTCTCTGAGAGATACCAATGTCTTGATCTAATTTGACAACCTCAATCCCAAGAAAGTTTCTCAATATCCAAGTCCTTGATTTCAAACTCCTTAGTCAGTTGTGCTTTTAGTTTGGTAATTTCATACCCATTATTCCCAGTAATAATTGTATCATCCACATATACACTTTGAACTGTCATCTTGTCATGTACACATCTGATGAAACATAGTATGATCAACATGACTTTGATTATATCCATATTTCAACATGGCTTTGAGAAACTTGTCAAACCAAATTAATTGCACAAGAGAGAACACATATAGAGTTGGCAAAGGTCTCATGATAATCAATGTCATACGTCTGAATGAATCACTTAGCAACCAGCCTTGCCTCAACTGCCCTTGCTCCAATAGGAAGTAGAACTAATTCCCATATATCATTATTTTTAAGGTTCTCATTTCCTCTACTATAGCTTCTCTCCGCTTTGGATCAGTGAGAGCTTCCTTCCGACCCTAAAGAATAAATATAGAAAACAAGTCGGAAACAAAGATTCCAAACTGCCCTTTTTCAGAAAACTGATCTACTTGGAATCAAGATGAGGGGTCTGTTGGCACTACTATGACCTTATGATAGTCGATTGACCATTATTTTTGTTGTTATCTGCATAGAACACCCATAATGCATAGATCTACATGTGACCCAAAAATTCCAAACTGTCTTTTTTGCAATTTTGACCTTTCTCTAACTCACAAATGCTTTCCAAGCATGAGATATTTGTGCTGGAATAATCCTCAGTTTCTGAAATTCATTAGTTTTTATCATGCTTTAATTTGGCAGCAGCTGACCTTGTTTTACATTTAACTTAACAATTTGAGGCATTCTTCAAGTTTAGGACTGTAGAAAATGAAATTTACTCTAATAGCTACTTTTTGAACATAACACTGCTTCCACTGCAACTCATTCTCGAAGTTTTCCTCTACTATGGATGATATATTAATTTCAGAAAATCTCATGAGTCCAACTAGGAGAATTTTGCAGGTTGTCATTTCAAAGACAACAATTGTGACTTAGTTGCATTGTCTTTTTTGCAGGACGAATGTGAAGATTTGAGACGGAAAGTGAAAGGTGGTCTTGTTAAGAAGCCTACTGTAGTAAGTACTCTAATACATATGCAAATGGTGATGTAGATTGGGAGAAGAAATTAGGATGAGAAAAGAAAAAATAAATTGGGAGGAAAGAGATTGCAATTTTATTCAATACTTCGAATTTGATACAATATGTACATCCATCCCCTTTTATAATGACAACTCAAATAACTACTCTAAGAGTTTTAAGGATTCTATTATTCCTATCATCTATCAACTACTAATTTAAAAATTAAAATAGATTTCAAGATAATGCCCAAAATACATTATCCAAAAGCTCATCAAAATCTACATTTATGTCTATTGTAACAAAAGATAATTTGATTCCCATCTTTTCTCCCCAGATGAGAAAAACTGGCCTCCGGAGAGGTACAATGGAGGTATTGCTCTAACAAATCTGGATTGAGACGACGAAACTCCTCTGTAAGCTAGGAACCATCAGGCCAATCCTTCCATGAAATTAGATAACGCCTATATCCTCCATTTGAAGAGCTAAAGAGCTGATAAATAACTTAAGATTCATTGTATTGATATCTACGATGAATCTATTTTGCAAATAATCAATTATTGGATTGTAGTTTAATTAGTATTTTTAGAACATAAGAAAAAAAATATATTGGGCAACTTTTAGAAAAACTCGGCAGATCCTTCAGTTTCCATTTGAATTTCTCTTGCACAAGGCTATATGTTTGGGAGGCTTCACATGCATGATGGATGATGCATACGAATACTTATTATAATGTTAAGCATATAATATAAATTTTAAATCATAATAAGTTTATTGCATATGCTTAACCATAGTATTTTGCTTTCTAGGTAGAGCTTGAACAGAAGGCCAGAAGTCTGCATGAGGATATAACTAAACATGTATGCATCCCTTCTTCATTATTGCAATAACATCTAGAATACAATTTTTTTTTCCCAATTTTTGCTTCTTATCATAGACTCTCAAGTTTGTATGGTCCACGAGTTGATTCCATCTATCATGAGACTAAGAATTACTCTGGAAAATAAAAGCCCCAATATATAGTGTAGATTTTTCATGGCACCTTTTATTATGCTGTATTTGTTTTGGGTATACCTATCGTATGAGACCTAGAATTAGAATTCGGCTTGAGTACTTAAATAGGTTGTTCCTTTGGAGTGAGGATTTTTGAACGAGTGATGTGATAACTATTGATGGTAATCGAGGCGGCAACGGAAGATCAAAATTAACTTTAAATAAAATAATGGATCAATAGAAAGTGTGACTCTTAATGAAGCATAATCGTGCAACAAGTTTCATTTAGTTGACACCACAATGTTGAGTTGATTTGAGTCTCTCTCTCAATTTTTAAAGTAATGCCCCATAAAATGAAAATGACAAGATGTCATATATGATATAATATATATGTCATCTTTGTTTTTTCCCTCGATACTCACTTTATTGGTTCCTAACAACTGATGATCCTGATATCATTCTTGGCCAATGAATCTATGACCCTTTTGCAAAATAACGTGAAGATAATCAAATATGGTGGATGATGATGTGTCATAGAAGTTATTACATCATATTACACAGCTTTTGAAGCGCATCCTATTTCTTTCCTATCATAAGGTGTTTTTTTTGTCTAACACATTCTAAACACAAGGTCATATGTACCTTTGTATTAGGGTTTCTGATGTAGGACAACTTTGTAAAATAAAAATATGGGTTGTGAACAGTATCTGTGAACGGTTATGGGGCTGTGAACAGTAACTTTGACTAGGAATTAGGGTTCTTTAGCTATCACACCTAGGGTTAGAATTGCGTCACACAACTAAAGAAGCATGTAATTGCTGAAATTTTTGAATATCTCTCACCATATTTTATTAAAAGTAACACTAACTATATATAAAGTTCTAAGTACTCTTAATCCTAAAAGATTAGGATTCCAAAATTTGTAGTACTCCAAAAACTCTAGGTCCTTACAAATTAGAAAACTAAAATTAACTAGAATTAGGACTTTAAATTCTAGAATATTTAACCCTAGAATTTGACCCAAAAATATGACCCATTCCAGAAATTCTAGAAATTACAAAAATATCTCTGACTCAAAAATATTAAAAGGACATAAAATACTAATACTAGCAAATTGACTTAAAATAAGACTCAATACAATAATGCAAGGTTTTATATGGATCTTTGTCCTGATGGAAAACCAATTCCATTATCTTTCACATCTTCGAATTTGCGTTTTCTTGAACATCTTATGGATTGCATCAGCTGCATTTCCTTTTTAACAGTTTCATTCTGTTAATTATGCCGAGAATCTATTTTGAATGAAGTGTATGCCTCAATCTCATTTCAAGGAACTTATTTATGTCACCTAGTTTATAGTTATCTACCTATCTTTTTGTTTACTTAAGTATTTATTGGTTGTTTTTATCTGTCCGTTTCCTTCTTTCTCAGTGGATTGCCAGAGAACTGGCTTTATTGGAAAAGCTCATTGATCGGGCGAATGAGAAAGGATGGAGGCGTGAATATCCTTTTTTGATGTTAGTTATCCAAGGTAGAGTCAGAAATCAGAATAGTTGCGTAGCTTGTGTAAGAAAGCTACACATATTAATAAGCTAGTAGAGAAAGTGATGCACAAGGTTAAATTCTTTGTTCATATTTACTCCTGTTATGACACGTCAGTCAATCAAATTGGCATACAGGAGCATTTTTATTTTTATTTTTTTTCCATTGGAAAATCATGTACAGGAGCTAAGAAATTAAAAGATCTCCCACTGTGGAGCAGCGTTGCAAATCCAAATTATCTATCTGACCATACTTTGTATGGATCTGAGATGGATTGACAATATAACAAGATGTTTAGTCTCTCATCTATAAAGACACATATAAACATCCTCACACTTGTGCATGATGTGGAGGTGCCTTCAATTTGGCTATTATAAGGTAACTTGTTATCCCAACAGAAGGTCATGTACACTTAACCCAAATTTTGACCTACGCTCTTTGAATACATGGAGAGAAAACAGCTCCTACAGACATCGTCAGAACAATCACGACTGCTACAAAGTGTTCCCATTGTTATTCCTGATGTAGCAGAGCTCGAAACTATTGCTGAGGATATTATAGAAGATAAAAATGGAGATGAAACTTTGCCAAAATTATTCCTCACAGGTAGTTCTGAAATTCCGAGTGCCGAGCTGGAAGGCAAAAGAATTGCTTCAGGTATGACAGATGCTTGACTTTCAGTAAGTTCTACCGTTATTTATTTTTTTCATTAAGAATCTCTCCTGCAAGTGTTTTGGATTTTCTGAAGCCATCGTGCTTGACGAAGAGTTGGTGATTAAGACACATACATGGTTACGAAACTTCAACCCATTCAATTTCCAATCTTCTAAGTCTATTTTAATATATCCCTAAAAACATGGGAAGGTTGAACAAAGTCTTGGCACTTCACACTAGAGAAAATTTGGGTATTTAAGGTTTAGGATGTTTCTATCTTCCTAGAACTATTTCAAGTGGACATAGGTAATGGAGTAAGCTAAGAAGAAGCGTGGGTCAAATTGTAGATTTCATGCGCATGGGACCTTGTCTAATCTAGTTTTTATTTAGATTTTATTCCCATTTGTGGTGATTTTCCGATTAATACACTTGACTTCTGTTTTCTGTAGTTTAAGAGTCAATGATATTCTATTAATTTCAATTATTTGGCCGATGTTTGTTGCAATAAGTAAATGGTTACGTGTAATGCATAAATTCATGGGATCAAGTATAAAAGTAGTTCATTTGGATAAGAATCAAATTTACGATGTAAAGACAAAACAGGTCGATGTGAGGTATCACACCCTCAGAGAATGGGTAGAAGGTAAAGTGAATTTTATTAAAGTTTATATAGAGAACAATTCGGCAGATAAATTTACAAAGAAATTTACTCCACAGATGTTCAAACATTGGTTGAACTTTATCGTTTTTCACACTATTAGATTGATGAAGTGTCACAAGGCATGGGGATAGACATTAAGATGCAGACTTGATGTTCAAGGTGGAGGTTATTGAATTTTCGTCAAGGTAGAGATTTGTCGACTTTAGTGGCTCAAAATCAATATTCAGGCATGAGTTGCTGGAGAATTGCGGATGCTGGTGTGGACTGCAGGTGGGCACCAAATTGGCACTGAAGGGAGGCAAAGTATGGTGCGAGACACGCACTCGAGATTGTCGGCAAAGAAGACGTTGAAGAACGAGAATTCTTCTCTTGATTTTCTTGGCCTAAAATGCTTTGTGTTCACATTTTTTGTAATCATCTTGGAATTTACCAAAACATCATTAAGCCCAACACCCATAGATAAGCCTTTAACAAGTTAGTTTGGGTATCCGATTTGAGTGAGAATTCAGTGCAAATATTCTCTTTTTTTTATGGGTTTGAGAGGGTTAGTGAAGTGGGTGTACAAGGAGTTTAAGGGCACAAGTTTAGGTTATTAAACTTGAGTGTTCGGGCATGTACCATTGTATTCAATTTTTGTCAATGGTAAGAAAGTGATTAGATCATGCCCCACGAACGTAAGCAAGACTTTTCCTTCGTAAATATTGGTGTTGTTTTTCTTTTGTGCTATGATTAATTTTTTTCATATTTTTTTTTTGGCTATCGCATTGACCAAATTGTTGCGACTTGGGAAAGATTTTTTTTGTTAATGACAACCAGCCCCTAGTTAGAACCCTGGCCATTCCATTGGCTTTTGGCACTGAATTTAGGCTCCATAACCATAAGCAAATGTTGTCTTGAATTTCCGCCAACTATTTATCACTCTACATCAAGGCAATTGATTCCTTTTCACATTCGCAATTCTTCTGAGATCCAAACTTTACATCTTTCCATAACCTTTTACAACCATAAGCTTCACCATAGGCAACATTCTTTTTGTCCTAGAGTACTCTCCTACATCCCCCCTTGGTGCTGTTTGATTTTCCTCATCTTGTGAATAAAACGAAATTTATATGTATTGTACAGTCATAGGATCCTCCCATCGAAAGTTTTGGCATCCCATAGTTACAGAATGGCCCCATTTACTGTTCCATATTGTTTAAGTTTCCCTTCGTATTTCCTGCTGTCTAGGGGAACTGAAATAATTATCCTAACTAACTGTTGCCATATCATCCAATCCATTTTGTGAAATCCTTAGAGTGAGCTTCCAAGTGCTCTGATACAAAAAAAAAAAAAAAAAGGAGAAAGAAAGTTCCAAGAGCAAATGAGATTATGGGTTTGATCATATCCTATAAAAAAATAAACAATACTTTTCAAGAGCTACGTGAATGATTGTAGGAAGCGTAACTGCAACAGTGCAACCTTATTAAACAGGAAGTATACTAATGCTGTTCCTCCATCTTTTGGTTCTTCTTTTCATTAATACTGTTGTGACATTTTGCTAACCTTCATATTAGTTGGCTTCAAATAATGTTAGGCGGCTACTGTTATGACTTTGAAATAAACTTGTCAGATCATGAGATGGACTTGGAATACATCCAATACAAGTAATGTCTTTTCTTGCAAATCCTATTTCCATACTTTGATTGATGACCAGTTGGCTACAATATTTGAACCTCGAGATAATTTGGAAGGCTAGAGTGCCTGTTAAAGTGTAGGTTTTTGCTTGGACTGTAGCTCATAGAAAGCTAATTACTTGTGCTTTGTTGCAGAGGAGAAGACCAACTTCTTGTCTTTCTCTGTAGTGGTGCACAATGTGCAAACATGATAGAGAAAGTGCGGATCAAATCTTTCTCCACTGCTCAATAGTCTTCAAACTGTGGTGCAGAGTCCATTTTGATTTTAGTTTGCATTGGGTTATTCCTAGAGGATGTGCTACTCTATTTTACACTTTTCATAATACCTTTGGGAAGGGGAATAGAACTATTTTTGGGATTGTGCAATTATGGAGATCTTTTAGGTGGTTGGAAAGAAACACCAAAATTTTTGAAAAAAAAAAATTGTTGTGGAATATCTTTGGGATAGAGTTAAATTTTTGGCTTCTCTTTGGCCATCGGCTGCAAATGAATTTAAGGATGTCCCATTTTTCCAATTGGACTTGATTGGATAGCTGCATGTAGTAGCTAGATGAAGGCTGATTTAGTTTTACAGTCATGTAGTTTCTCTCATGTGTTTGTCTTTTATTCTCTTAATGGGTGGATCACTTGTCCCCTAGTTTGTCTTCCTTTACCTCTTTGTGATTAATTAATGAAAATTTTGTTTCCTATCAAACAAAAATGCCAACACACAGTTCAGAAAAAAAAAATAGAGACCAAGAGTCATCTTTACAATCACCAGTCTCTTCAGCATTCAATAAGCTTATAGCTTGTCAGAGACATTTGACAGAATATATTATTTATGCTGGAGACGGAGCTGTCATCAATGGGAGATCTTTGTTTCAAAATATCGAATCAGGCTTAATTAACAAGGGAGATGGGAATGGACAATCAAGAAATGGGAATATTGGCAAAAATGACACAAAAGGTTTGGATATATTACCATATTCCTTAGTTTGGGATTATTGTAGTATCATCACTGCGGTGCTTAAAAAATGTGAAACAAAGTTTCCATTTGAGTTGCTGTAAATGAACATATATATTTACATGTAGAGGGGCAGCCATTGGATGAGGTTTCCAGGTATATGCTTGGACAAGATTCAGTCGGCCGAATTTTGACCATATGATCTTAAGAGATTCCCATTGAAAATATTGCCATTGGTTTTTTCATTTTCCAAGTAAATAAAATGAAGTCATGGTTAAAATGGCGCCAATTTTTTTTTTTTAAAGCTTTGAAACCCCATCCTTGAATAGAACCATTTCCTGAAATGTAATACTCCATAAAGTCATTAGTACTCAAATCACTACCGATCAATTTGAATAAACTTTGCTCAGAATAATTTTAGATTTTTTTCATTTATATATGTCACGTATATTATTTCATGGTTTTCAATTGTATTTACATGTGCTCTGCTCGTGTCTGTGCAGGGGAATGTGATTTCCCCAGTTCTAGGTAGTGAAGTTTTGTTTCCGTTGACAGTGTTATACTCAATTTATATTTCTCTCTGCTTCATTTAGCTTGTCCCTCATAATGTCAAAATCTCTCTTTCAATATTCTCTCACCCACTCCACTATTAGCTGGAAAATGCTCCAGAACATCACCTTTGGATACACCACGTCACTATGGTCATTTGGTGTCACCATCCAACATATAAGCAAGTAGACCTCATTTAGTTTAGTAACTACCAAATCCATGTAGGAATGTGTAAAGAAGTGAGGTTCACTTTTCCCACTTGTAGGACCAATACACCCAATATTTACTCCTCTCTCTCTCTTTACCTCCTCCACCACCCCCCCCCCCCTGCAAAAAAAAAAAAAAAAACCTATATAAAGGGGAACTTTGCCAAAAAACATGAGAGGTCATTTGGCTTGTGAAGGACTCCCATCAATATATGAAAGAAAAATAGCTTTCAAGCAAAGAGGGGAGGCGTAAGCCTGGCCTCTGCTCTAGTAAAGAATAGCCCAATCACTAACGAAAAAGAAGAAATAAATAGGCACAGACTTAAGCTTTGATCTTATCATAAACAGGACTTCTTTGCCCCAGTTGTTATTCATCTTTCCGCCCCAAACCTTTAATGGAGCCTCTTTACTCAAGCTCAGAGTCTCACACTTCACACTCGCTGTTGTGCATTCATGAATGATTGAGTTTGGCATGCATATGTATTATGGCTCACTTTGTATATATATGTAAACATATATTTTGAAATTCAGCAATTTTTTGTTAGTTTCAGTTTAGCCTTATTTGTCTCTAGACTCTTTTGTTTGTTCATTGGTTAAATTTAAAAGAGGTGAATGAATCAAAAAGATAAAAACTCTTTAACACAGTATATTGCCTGTTCATCTCTTGATTTTTTCTTATTTGCTGAAGAGTAGGAACCTTATGATTGTATATGTACTCACGCAGAAAAGCAGCATCTAGCTCAATCATGTGTTTTAGAGGAATTGCCTCAACATTCTCCTCTTCTTGCTCCTGAACTTCAAGATAATTTTCTCCAAAGAGAGCCTTGTCAGTCAAATTCAACAGAAAAACAGAACGGGTTGGAAATGGCTACTCTTGAAGAACTGCCACAGCAGTGTCATATTCCTGCTCCTGAAGATCAATCTAATGCCATACTCCAAAGTAAGCCAAATGCATCTAGTCCTTGTATTGCTCAGGCAAAAGAAAAACAGTTGATGGATGTCGAACAGTCTACTGCAAAACATCAAGAGGCAGTGGCAGTCCAGTTGATTGACTTGAGCAGTGATGATGACAACCAGAAGTCGAGTTATGCAATAGGGAAGCGAAAAATCGAGGACTCAGAAAGCTCAGAATGGCATTGTTTAGGCCCCAATGGCGAAAGGAAGGGTCCCCATACACTCTCACTGCTCAAGTGCTGGAGTGAGGTCAGCCCTTTTGCATTGAAGTTCAAGGTTTGGAAAACAAGTCAAACCAAAGAAAATTCAATTTCATTGAGTGATGCTATTAAGCTGGCTTTCCCGTGATCTAGAAGTTGAAACTGTTCAACGATCAAGAAAGAACTTCCTCCAAATATGTAAATGAACTATGCAAAAACTTTTTGTTCATCAGTGTCTAGTGAGCAGGTCCAATTTTGGGAAATGGACTTTACCTCACAGGAAGCCATGTATTACTGAAAGTAGACGTTTTTATGATGCCATCGTAAAGAAAGGGTGTATATATAGTATAAACGACGTTTGTAGGTATATTTTGGTATATGTTTTGCAGTTACTTTTGCTATTACTCTGTGCCTCACCGTTGAGGAGAGTCAGAATATGCTTCCGTAAATTCATGCAATCAGATGGTATATAGGTCACAGCATATTGTTGATAAGAATTGTGGAAAAGTGCATAGGAGGATTACTGATTTACATCATTCAGGATTGGAGTCTGAGATATGTAGGGTTCAAGCAAGACCACACTATAAAGATTATAGAAAAGAAAATAATTTGATTTACGATCCCTCTGCAGATTAAATCCTACCAATACTTGGAGCTAATCCTATACCAGTCCTGCCAGACTGCTACACCATGCCGGAAAAATATCAGATAACAACGTAATGATCCCCCTCCCTCTCAGGGGCCCCCCATCCTTGGGTTGGAAAGGAGAACATCACACTATGTAGCTGATGTAACAGAAAATGAAAGATTACTGATAGATTTAAGAGCAAAAATCCTTCAAAATCGTTTAGAGTGTTCAAAAAAAATTTTTAAAAAAAATAATTAATGTATATATAAATAAGGCATAATAGTTTATAAAATATGAATTTCAATTTTTTATGTCATTGATAATATTTTGTGAATACAATAAATTAAAAACTTATAAGACCTATGACAAAACTCCAAAAAAACCGAATAAAAAAACTAATAAAATTAACTTTTTGAACCAGCCTAACTAAGTTTTTTTGGGTCCAAACTCAAAAAAAAATCAAGGTTCAAACGAACCAATCTTATTTTACTCTAAAACCCTTAAATACTATCTGTTTAAGTTAGCTTTAAACAGACCCATAATATAGTGTCAATAAATCAAGAAGACACCAATACAAAATGAGACATGGCACTTCAACCATATTGGCAGTAGTCTGTTACGAGAATGCACAATAATTGGGAAGGGATCTAAAATTCCAACATATACAGTCATCCACTCGACATACAAATATCTAGCTGTAGGAATCACATATATTGCTTAGTTAAAATCTGATCCACAAATGATTCATGCTTGTAACCATTGAACTTAATGTCTCTCCGTTTGACAATTTTTTCCTGGCGGATGAAACACTCAGCACAGTAACACAGATTATATTCCAAATTATCTCCTGATAAGTAATTTCAGTGTGCTGTTCATATGTCCCTCTAACTAGCACCACAGAGTTTGATGGAAGCATTTGCTTGTCTGAACTTTTAAATTATCAAGAATGTTTGACACCACCTCTCAATTCATCATTAAGCTTGCATGAAGTTCTCATCTTCTTAGTTTCTAACAGCATTCTCCTCCCTGTAAGCTCGCAGCCTTTCTTTAAGTTTCTTACTCTCTTCAAAATTTGCCTTCCGCTTCAAAGCTTTCTGTAAAACAAAAACAAATAATTTCTTTTTTTATATTTCTACTAGCAAGAATGGAAGAAATAAAGATGTTAATTATGACGGGTCATGATAAATTCCAATCAGGTAAAGACGTAAAACCCCCAGATAAAGAAACCTTACTTCCTGCCGGAAACAGCGATCAAGCTTTAATTTAAGATCTGTGCATTCCCCAAAGAATTTTGCAATCGGATGGTCTAGATGACACTTCTGGAACTGCTCAATAATCTGCACTATGCAGTAATCAATCTGAAGTTGTAAAGATACAGACTTTCTTTCTATTACTATACCAAAGGGAAAACAAATCAACAGGCAGTAATAATCTTTATCATAAAAACCACAATGATGGTTTCCATCGCAAAACACAGTTCACATTTCATATAAGTGATCCCCCCCCCCCCCCCTCTTCTATCCCAAAAAAAAAAAACAATCCCACCCTGATTCACAAAACTCCAAAGAGTAGACAAGATGGCCATAGCCCACTTCATTTAAAGTCTCCCTCGGATCATCTCTCAAGTATTTATCACAGTGGTTGCCCAATGTATGTAAGATGAGGGGTCGCATTGCCTGTAAGAATTAGACAGATGCTTTAAGAGGTCCAAGTAACTCCTTGTTAGAACACACAAGAAAAAGAACACAGAAGGAGCAACACAAAAACACGTATTCCCAAGCATTTAGGGTCGTGGTTGAGTCCCTGGTTCATTTTTTGCAATACAAGGCAAAACATATTTTCAGAACTCTTCATCCTTGAGAATTAGAAAGCTCCATTGGGTTAAACTAGTGTCCCAACTGGAAAGAGATAACTAATACTAAGGATCATAGGGTTGCAAAGGATGGAGCACCATAACCGGTGCATGGAGAATTTGCCAAACATCCGGGTATGCAGTGAAATTTGCATAAAAAACATGTATCACATTTGTCCATGTGACATCCGGGTATGAAGCGAAGCTTGGTCAAAGTTAGAAAGCTCAAAATTATCAACGGTTATGTTCATAAAGAGTATAATATTAAGATTACATTAAGCATCAGTATGCCACCACCCACTGACCGTTATAAGATTTGACTCCTAATGTCATCATGAGGAATTACCTATACAACATAAATAATCCAAAATCGTGCACGTACACACCTCGGACATGATAAACAAATATTTGTGTGCTACAAGACTCTAGTTTTGTAAACAATTCCATAGCATAATGTCCAACCAAATTCCTTATGTTGTACTTGGACATCTCACAATGAAGGTACAGTCGCATTCCAGACCTTGTTTATACCAAGACATACTTTTGCCACAAAAATATTAAAATTAAAAATCAAATTGTGCCTTGGCACAGGGTTCAAATCTCATTACACGCAGAGTTGAGTTCACATAGCTGCAAACAAATAAAAGTCAAGTAAATCTCCAACCCAGACACAAATTCACAGTAAACAACCACAACCAACTTAATGAAATTATGGGATATGATATAAAGCATAAACTGAGTAATTCATTCCCAGATGTAAGCAATAAACATCTCCTAAGCACAAAATGAATAACCCATAAAACAAGAATGCGAGAGAAGCAACAAGATGGAACTTACTTGGGCGCACATTGGGTGCCTATGTAGTGTTAAAGGAGGATGCATTTTCTTCCACACTAATTCAATCCCTACAAAACTGCAAATCACAATCCCAATGACGCTTTCACACATAAACTTAAAAAGCCAGAAAAAAATAAATTAAGTTTGTTCCCCCAAAAAGATAAAGAAATCAAAGATGCTTAAATTTGAGGCATAGGTATTCATTATATAACAATTCCAGCTAACCCTATTATACATACTTGTATCTATCTACACATGGAACACACGTATATGCCCTAATTACTTTGAAATCAATCCACTACATATGAGATAAATAAAACTCGATCACAATAAGTATCAAATTTATAGATTTAAACAGTTTTGAATCCGACATCAACCATTACCACTCGTCTTTCTACTTCAATAGTTACAGTATCATTAATTGTGTGTGCGCAAGGGCGTGTCAAGACTCAAGATTGATTTAACTAAATACTCCATAAATGAAGATTAATTTGTAAAGCAGCAGAGAAGAAAATAGTGAGAGAAAGGAGACCTGAGAGGTAGACTTCCTCGCACACAAGAGTCGAACAAGAGCGAGACAGAGAGAAGGGGAGGAGGGATGGTTGGTTCTACTTCAGTAAATGTTAGCACACTGTAGGCCAGAGATTTATACTAAAGTTAATCTCTCTATTTTTCGGTTTTATACTTTTTGCTTATCAGATAAAACGGTAAATAAATAAGGGTCAAAGCCGGTTTACCCCTTTGGCTTGGCTTGTTTGGATGAATTTTTTAGGGTGTTTGGATTTGCCTCAGTAATCTAGGTAGGTACGACTTGATCGAAACTCACCCTCCATGGATTTGATGAAACACGCATTCAAGAGATTAAGGTGTCGGGCCAAATAAAGGTCGGGACTATTGTCCATGACTTTTTCAAGCCATCCAATCCAAACAAGAGTTTTGGAGTCTATTGAATTAATTTTCTCAAACTTATCTTATCAAGTCCTCTCATACTTACTTACCAATCAGTTGAACTTTTGCACTTGACTCATAGTTTTAATGCCCGATCTACATCAACCCGATAAAATGACTAGGTCAATGAGTCACTGACTTCAAACCGGTCATATGGTATAAAAATTAAAATATAATTATTTATGATAATTAGCAATACATGACGTGCTTTGCACGTAAACAAATGTAAATAATATTTTTTTGATAAAAAAAAGTAAATTATATGAGTAATTAAATTAAATAATAAATTAGTTGTCAAATAATTAATCTGTATTTTAATTATTAATTTATTCTATAAGTTTTTGAATAAGACCGCTTATAATATTATTATATTATACTATACTAAAAAATATATTTGATGGTAGAACTCAATGTCATAACTACATATATATAATAATTTAATATATATACATATATAGGATTTTACTTCTTCATATAGATATAAAAAATTGTATGTAACTGTACTACTAATAAATGAGTTTTAAAAAATTTAAAAATCCTTATAAAAAGTTCAAAATAAGTTGAAAATCAAATATGAGTAAAAAATAAAAATTGGACAAAAGTATATAGGCGGGTATAATTGATTTTATTACAATAATTAGGGATAAAATAGAAAATTAAAAATAATTTAATATATATAAGACTTTATTTTTTCATATAGATATAAAAAATTATATTTAATTATTACACTACTAATAAATGAGTTCAAAAAAATTTAAAAATCCTTGTAAAAGAGTCTAAAATAAGTTAAAAGTCAAATATGAGTAAAAAATAATAATTAGATAAAAGTATATAAGTGGGTATAATCAACTTTATTATATTACTTAGGGATAAAATAGGAAATCAAAAAAATTTCGTGAATACTGATATCTATAAATAGTATTTAGATAAATTTACTAAAAAATATATAATAATTATAAAATTAATACGTTTATTGTATATTAGATCACACAAAAACTCAAAAATTATCAAACATATATACAATCCATCCACTTTCCAAGACAATTTATAAAGCTATAGACTACATAAGAGAAAATTATCAAACATATATCGAGGGCAGTAGTCACTCAGTAGAAGAAACAACTTAGGAGACTGAGGAGAGTATGCGAGTTTAATATCCACATTTGTTTAGTGCAAGTAAGTAATTTCGATGACGAAATTTTTATTAGTGGGGGAGAGTTATGAGACCCAATTATGCATTGCATGCATATTAATATAAGTTTGGGAGTTAAATTATAATTACGTAAAATTATTAAAGGGGTTAATTAAATTAAATATTTCATAAGCATAATGTGAGTGAGCATACATTGGGTTTGTGGACCCCATTAGTGATACATTAGTAAGACTCATTTATAAAAATTTCATGTGTGAAAATATTAATGGGTTAATTTTGAAATTATTTAAAACTTAGGGGAGGCAACAATAATTAACACACGACCTTTACATGTGTTAGCTTAAGAAAAAGAAAGAAAAAAAAAAAAGTGTGTCGTGTGTGTGTGAGTGTGTGCCGTTTGTATGTGTGTGTGTGTTTAAAGGCGAAAAGTGTGTGTGTGTGTCTGGTTGTTTGACAGAAGCCGAGAGTAAGGAGAACAAGAGAGAAAAAGGAAAAAAAAAAAAAAGAGAGAGAGAAGAAGAGATCAAAGAAAAAATACATGCGTGTGTCCATTTGAACCGTGAGTAAAAAAAATATATGAATTTAAGTTTTGAGTTGTGATTAATTTTAGTATATACGTATTTATATATGTGTAGGTTGTTTTAGCATGTTTTAATTAGTAGGTTGTTTTAATTTAAATACATAAGTTGTCTTATTTTATTTTAATGGGTTGTTTTAATTCAAATTTCATAGGCTAATTTAGTTAATGTCAAAACAGATTTTTGTATGGGTGTAATTAAATATATTTAGCATAATTAACGGACTGTTAAAAATAGGTATTAACTGGGTACTCAACGGAGTGTACGAAAAGTGTGAAAATGACCATATGACATATTCAGGAAGCATTTAGTGGGCTAGGTTGAAAACGAAAATTATGGGAATAAAATAGGTGGTTTAAAAGCTCACTTATGAGCTGTTTTGCATTGATTAAATGTGTATGTGAATTTAAGTGTGGCGGTTGTCAATAAAAAGTACGATAGAAGTGGGAAAAGGGTGTCGGTAACGCCGAAACCCTGATTTCTAAATGTTATTATCACATGTGCGAATTTTAATCCAAATGACCTGAAATTTTGCATGCAGCATTTTTAAATGATGCGTGATGTGATAATATGACTTTCGAATGCAAATGAGTATAATATCCAGTGCAAAATGTATGAAATACCGGAAGTGCAGTTTTTAGGATTCGAGATTGAAATGTGTGAAAATGGACCCCCGGTTAATGTGTTTGACCTAATTAATTCTAATTGTGATTAATATGAGTGATTTTGGGAATTTGGGGAGGGAATTTGATCCCTAAAACAAAAGTACTAATGTGTGAGTAAATAGTGCGGTAACCAGGGCACTTTGAGGTGCATCATTTGCGTGCATTAGTGCATGATTAACTATTAAATATAATAAATTTATTGATATTGTAATTATAAATGTGTTAGGTGGAACAAGTGAGACAATCGGTATTGGAACAAATACGGTGACACCGAGAAGATTAACCGATAGGACCGAAATGTCATAAATTTGTACATCTGAGGTGAGTGTATATCTTTATATGTTTTGGAAATGCTATTATAAGATGATAGTAAATGATCGAAATTAATAGCAATTCTCCAAGATTATGTGCTACGTGCTTATGTGACTGGGTGATGTTTTGTACTGTGTATTGTGTATTGTGGAATGTGACGCACTGTTTGAAACAAGGGCGTCAATGCCTGGTCACTGGGTGTGCAATGATGTGCTAGTACTGTGGTGTTCCCGAGAGGTTCGGGAGACACAGATCTATGTGGGATCGATTACCCGATGAGGAGTAGTATGAATATGATGTAGTTTGTGAATTCTTTGGAATTGCATTGATGTTATTGTTTGATACGTATATCTACGTAGTATCTATGTACTTTAGTGTATTACTGTCATTTTCATTTCATATACAGCATGTATACTCACTGAGCGCGTGGTTTAGCTCACACCCCTACAACTTCTTCTTTTCAGGTACTATAAAAGAGGATACATACCGGTCCACTGTCCAGTTGATTGAGTCTTGTGTAACGTTAGTGTGATATCACTCAGGTTGAGTGTCAGTATGACTAATTTCTGGGTTGTGTATTCTATTTGTGAGAAATTATTATAGCAGGTTAATAGTATATATTTGTAAATAGACTCATCAAACATACTTTGTGATGTATGTTATGTGGATGTGGAATTTTATATATGTCTATAACCCAAAAAATAAATGATTGGTACAGGTGTTTATATATGTTACAGGTTATAAGATAGGTTTTACCGCCATACTCAATAATTAAGGTGATGAGTGGTGTTGTTACACCTGTAGGATTATATCATGTTTGATTAGTCAAGCTTATAATAATAATAAACATGTGTATTAAAAACCTAGTCGCATCTTATCTTTGGGAGGCCAGGATGGGGCGTGACAGTCCTCTTTGTAGAAAACCTTAATAGCCAATATACAAAGAACTAGAGTCCCTAGAGAGTCAAACAGGCCAAGGGACACAGACAGGTTGAGGAAAACCCAAGTCAATGATGCACGTATAGAAAATTTTAGGTCTACCTACAATATTCCTTGGAGAACACCTTGTCCATCAAATATTTGATTATAGGGTCCATCCAGCTTTGAGGTAAATCTTGGGTGCGCATTGATATCACCTCCTTGGCATCTAAGTCCCTTATACTCGGGATTTCAAGGTAGTCAATGGTAATACGCTGAGTTACCTCTAAAGCTAAGGTCAAGGCGAGGCAAGCCAATACATCTACATGGCTATTGTGATCTTTTAAAATTTGGGACACCTCTACCTTTTCGAACTTCTCTATTCTCAATTTTGCCCTCTAGTAATAAGCTTTCATCCTATCGTCTTGGGCCTCAAAGTCCCCATTAATTTGATTTAACACCAACTAAAAATCGTAAAAAATATGAAGGTGTCTAACCCCAACCGAGTACGGGATATCGAGTCCATCCAATAGTGTCTCGTACTCGGCCTCGTTATTAGACTCTTTAAATCCGAGTCTAATGGCTCGTTCCACTGTAAATCCTCTAGAATTGGCCAAAACTTCACCTACTCTTGCCCCCTTTGCATTCAAAGATCCGTCTATGTGTAAACTCCAAACTTCATTATGGTCGGAAGCTAATGTTTTCTCCTCTATAGGAAACTCGGACGCAGAGAACTCAGAAATGAAATTAGCAAGGATTTGCCCCTTGATGGCAGTACGAGACTTGTAGATTATTTCGAATTCTCCTAGCTCCATGGCCCACTTGGAAACTCGTCCTGACATATCTGCTTTGTGAAGTATGGGCTTAAGGGATCGGTCCATTAAGATCTCAATGGGATAGGCTTGAAAATAGTGTCTAAGTTTCCTTGCCAAGACAACCATGGCTAGTATGAGTTTCTCCATCAGTAAATATCTGGTCTCTGTATCAAGCAGGGTCTTGCTTATATAATGCACTGGTCTATGTACACCGTTGAGCTCTCTCACCAAAGCCCCGCTAATCGCCCATTATAAAATAGATAAGTAAAGGTTCAAGACTTCACCTGCTACCGGAACGGATAAAGTAGGAGGGGACTTCAAATACTCCTTGATTCTTTCTAGGGCCAAATCACATTCTTTGCCCCAGGAACCTTTCACTGTCCTTTAAGCATGGCAAAGAACGACTTACACCTATTCGAATACTTAGAGATAATTCGATTGAGAGCCGCTAGCATCTCAGTTAGCTTTTGTATGTCCTTGACCGTCCTTAGCCTCTGTATGTCATGTACGACC